AAAGGACATTTTCTACCACGACTAAGCACTAAAACATATAAGCACAGGCCACAAATATATTTTTTTTTTATTTAAAACATACCTAATAATTTCAACAAACCTTGCACTTGCTGAAACATATGCTAAGTTTGACCGGTCACAGCTGGGCAAATACTGGGAGCAAAAGCAAACAAAACAAGTAAAAAAGCCAGAGTTCGGGCGGAGCGAACATTAGATACCCGGCGAAAGTATTTAAATTTTTCAAAATTCCATAATAATGTTACTTATTTGCAAGGGAATTTTGTTAGTAAATACTTATAAATTTTGAGTAAATTAGCGTCCATAAATTTCGAAATATCGAAGTTTCCAGCATATCTTAAATTTATCGTTATCTGAAATGTGGGCGTAATTTTAGTCCGATTTCAATAATTTTCAACGCTTTGCTTTTATGTGGCAAGCACAATAATCATGCCGAGCTTGGTACAAATTGGTAGAATGATTACCGAGATACATATATGTAATCATAAGTGGGCGGTGCCACGCCTATTTTCCAAAATTTTATCATAAACGTCTGTTTTACTAAAGTATTATTAGAAACACAAATTTTGAATAAATTAGCTTCAGTATTTACTGATTTATCGAAGATTTCGTATTTCTCTAAATTACCGTTATATGGGATGTGGGCGTGGTTATTGTCCGCATTTGCCGTTTGGTATGTTTTGTCAGGGCCCAACAGCTGTGCCAAATTTGGTGGAAATTGGTTGAGCGGTTCTCAAGATATACACATAGTGGGCGTGGCTACGCCCATTTTCCAAAAATTTATAATATTCTTATTTTTCGTCTAAAAATCATTGTAAATATCAATTTTGAGCGAATAACGTTCAGTATTTACTAAAATATCGAAGCTTTCGTATTTCTGAAAACTATCGTTATATAAGAGGTAGGCGTGGTTATTATCCAATTTTGGCCATTTTCAATACCATTCGTCCTACGCTCAAAAAAAGTGTACGTACCAAGTTTTGTAAAGATATCTCAATTTTTACTCGAGTTATCGTGTGCACAAACGGACAGGCGGACAGACCGCTTAATCCAATTCTTTTTTCATTCTGATCATTTATGTATACATATATATATCTATCTGGATTCGTTTTGCCCTTTTCAAACAACAGTTATGTGAAGATATTATAATACCCTTGTGTTTGTGCACAAGTGCGCTCGGGTATAAAAATAAGATTAAGAATAAGTGTAAGAATACGATTAAGATTAGGATTAAGATTAAGATCAAGATCAAGATCAAGACTAAGATTAAAATTAATATTAAGATTAAGTTTAAGACTAAGATTGGGATTAAGATTAAGGTTACGGTTAAGGTTAAGTTTAAAACTTACATTAAAACTAAGATTAAGATCAAAATTAAGATTAAGATTGAGATTAAAATTAGGATTATAATTAGGATTAAGATTAAGGTTAAGATTAAGATTAAGAAAAAGATTAAGATTTAGATTTAAATTAAGATGAAGACTAAGTTTAAAAGTATGTTCCCACATAAATATAATCTCATTTGTTAATCATCCCGTTTACATTGTCAAACGTGGGATTGAATTATTAGCTGTCAAATTTATTGCTTTTTTCACAACTCAAGCAAAAGTTCAATTTCTCCTCTATGCCACAGTGATCACTTTTTTCTGCACAATCAGGAAATTTATATATGTATATTGTAACTCAATATTTTATAAAAATACTTTTCAGAACTCTGTTCTATTTTTGCTTACTTTCACATTTGACATTTCTCCTATTGTCCGCAAAAATAATTGATACAACTAAATAGGTTGAGATTATTTTAGAATACAGATTAACAGGTATGTATTTTGTATGGCTAATAAGTTATTTTAATTACAGAGTTGGGCTCAAAAATGGGGAAAATTTCTATGTTTGAAAACGTAATTCAAAAACTAATGCTGGATTTCCACTAGGCATTAAATGGCAAAAATGACAAGTGACAAAGTCGGTCATTAAAAAATAATCGTGTCATTACATTTAAAAAATGATCATTAAGATCATTTCCACATGGCATTTTTTTAAATGGCAGACATTTTGTGTCATTTCAATGCTTAGTGGAAATTCGGCATAAGTTTAAGATNACTCAATATTTTATAAAAATACTTTTCAGAACTCTGTTCTATTTTTGCTTTCTTTCACATTTGACATTTCTCCTATTGTCCGCAAAAATAATTGATACAACTAAATAGGTTGAGATTATTTTAGAATACAGACTAACAGGTATATATTTTGTATGGCTAATAAGTTATTTTAATTATAGAGTTGAGCTCAAAAATGGGGAAAATTTCTACGTTTGAAAACGTAATTCAAAAACTATTGCTGGATTTCCACTAGGCATTAAATGGCAAAAATGACAAATGACAAAGTCGGTCATTAAAAAATAATCGTGTCATTACATTAAAAAAATAATCATTAAGATCATTTCCACATGGCATGTTTTTAAATGGCAGACATTTTGTGCCACATCAATGCTTAGTGGAAATTCGGCATACGTTTAAGAATAAGACAACTCTTCGTTATTATGCAGAAAAGTACTTATATTATGTCGTGAGTTATACGGGTAATAGGAGGAAGTTTCATTTGAGTCGCCCATGGCATCCACGCAACACTTTTTTTTTTTAAATTAATTTTCAAATTCAATGGCTTAAAATTAATATTCAAATTCAATAGCAATCACAAAAATTTACCAATGTCAAAAATACCCTTAGTGCGCTCCCGCCCTGTGCTCACAGACAAACATCCTNAGGAAGTTTCATTTGAGTCGCCCATGGCATCCACGCAACACTTTTTTTTTAAAATTAATTTTCAAATTCAATGGCTTAAAATTAATATTCAAATTCAATAGCAATCACAAAAATTTACCAAAGTCAAAAATACCCTTAGTGCGCTCCCGCCCTGTGCTCACAGACAAACATCCAATAACAGAAATATTCTCGAACATAGGGACACGATATCGAATCAATAGTATCGATATAGTACTCATTTGAATTATCGCTGTAAAAATATCGGGCACCCATTAATATCGTGATAAAAAGACGNAATTATCGCTGTAAAAATATCGGGCACCCATTAATATCGTGATAAAAAGATTCAAAAAATTAAATCTGAATATTGGTCTCATTTTTTTCTAATAAAGATGNATTCCAAATATCGATACCAAATTCAAAAAATTAAATCTGAATATTGGTCTAATTTTTTTCTAATAAAGATGGAACAATTTTGCCCTTAATAAGTGTTTGCTTATGTAGAGGTGTGTTACTTGACATCACCGAAGGCATCGGTTGAAATCCCACCACATGCCAACTTAAATAAGATAGTACACATTTGTGCTCTTTAAGGCCAAAAATATATCCATGTTGCTTTACATATAAGTTCCAAAGTATAGACATTTTTATGGGCGTTTCCAGGGGAAGGTCATGGCACGTCATAGACTTGCGGAAAATGGAACAACTAGGTAGCGCTGAAGTCAAAATAAAAAATATATTCGATGTGAAATTCATGTTTTATTTGCGTTAAAAATTAGTTTAATAACAATATTAACAAAAAAAAGTTTAAATGGAAATTTTCGTAACGTAACGTCATGTAACATCACGTCAGATACTAAGGCTGATAAAAAAGCAGGAAAGATTTTTACATTTTGGAACTTGGAAAATTAACTCTGAATATTTAAAATATTAACAAAAAAGAAATTATACACATAGTCTTGCCCGATTCCCAGAGTTTTAAATGTTGACGTTTTAAATTTATATTTTTAACATTTCATCACGCCACGCGAGATTGAAAATGCCCATATGCGCTTTTCCTTAAGCACATCAAAAAGAATTTAATAAAAGAAAATTATTTTTTATATAATGTACATGTACATTTACGATTCGATACGATACAAGGGTTCGGGTACTCGATTCCAAAAAATATCGTTTGAAAACTATCGAGTAAAAAGTATCGATATCGAATAGCAAAAATATCGATATTGTATCGAAATGCATGTCCCTGCTTGAGCACATTAGATCGATTTCCAACAAGGTATTTTCCATAAAATTTTTCTTGATCTATTCCTATCATCATGAAAAAGAGAAATGAAGGTTCTTGAAGGTTCGCTCTCTACGAAACGATGCTTCAAAAGTGCTCGAATATTTTATGTATAATATATGTATCTATTTATAAATGTTTATGCATAGACGTGTAAACTTCGGAACATTAAACACTTTTAAATTATGTTGCTTTTTCCATTATTCGTTCTTTTTATACATATATACTATATGCCATTATTTTTTCTTTACTCTTTTCCACTTTTTATTTCCTATTGTCATCTCTTTACTATTTCGCATTTTCATTGTTCATTATCTGCTATGCTTCCTAACTAAATATCAATTTGTTGTGTTAGTATTTTCGAATTTACTTGGGGTTTTGTTTACATATGCAGATCGGCAGCGTGTCTTCGAAAAACGCACGCGCACTTCGTTGCAGAAATTTTATGGATTTTTTTCGAATATTCACCGCTTTTATTTTGATTACAAAATTCGTAATAGCAGNTAACTAAATATCAATTTGTTGTGTTAGTATTTTCGAATTTACTTGGGGTTGTGTTTACATATGCAGATCGGCAGCGTGTCTTCGAAAACGCACGCGCACTTCGTTGCAGAAATTTTATGGATTTTTTTCGAATATTCACCGCTTTTATTTTGATTACAAAATTCGTAATAGCAGGCTGTAGAAGTCATTGACTTCGAGAGGTTGTAAACACAAATAAAATTGTTTAAATGAATGCATCCATACATATGCACATACATATATACATAATACATAAATCCATCTCGAAGGCTACGCGCTCACTCTTTCTCGTGAACTCTTCAGCCGGCTGCCTGCGTCTGAAACCAATAATATTTTTTTTTTTGACTAACCATTTATTTCTTAAACTTTTTACTTATTTTAATTACACTTTGCTTGCTCTTTTTCTCTCTTCCGCAGACATTGTTGAGGTGATTTGTAATACCACCGGCATTCCGCATTTACAATTCGACTGGCATGCCAACGAAGCCTATGGCGGTCATAGTCGCAATCACAAACTGACAGTGAATGTAGCACCTACAGAGCAAATGCTTTCTTGCGCATTTTTGGATATTATGCGCATGAAGCAACTGGATTGGAAATCGTTTACGATCGTCTATGAGAATAGTCGAAGTGAGTAGCATTAATTTCAAGACTCAATNTTTACGATCGTCTATGAGAATAGTCGAAGTGAGTAGCATTAATTTCAAGATTCAATAAATGAAATGAAATGAAATGAACAAGGCGAATTTATATAAGGTGGTGTTGTTTAATCAGCTGTGTGTAGCGTTTGATTGTCAAAATTTTATATTTTGCTAGTGAGTGAGTGTAAACGTGAGAGTGTTTGTATTTTCTGTCGCCCTTTTTCATTCGGAGAAGAATAGCTGAGCTTTGACAATCACCAGCTAAAAGCAAAAACAAAATACAAGTAATTGTTGTATTTGTTGAATTGATACCACCTTATATGAATTCGCCTTGGAAATGAAATGAAAGATTTTACTAAACAAAAAACACAACTGTTCCTTTTTATACAGAACAAGAAAATATCTAAAGAGTAAATATTTTTCTAGGTCTGGCTCGCATGCAACGCTTATTCGGCTGGCGTCAATTGCACAAAGCTGGCATAAAATTATGGCATTTCAATCGTGGCGATGACTATCGTGTAATCTGGAAGCTTATTAGTAATTCACGCGAAAAATATGTGGTATTGGACTGTCCGTCGGATATAATCACCGAAGTGCTGAATGCGTCCATATATTTCAATATGACCGGACAGTTTAATGTAAGAAATTTGATATTTTATAGCAGCTTTATAAAAAAATTGTCCCTTATTATAGCACTGGTTTCTTACAAGTTTGGATACGCACACAAGTAATATACGCTCCTTGTACTCTCGTAACTTCGTCGCCAATATGATCGCTGTGCGCGTACGCCCCTACATGCCTCCACCGGTGCATGATGAGGCAGATGTTTTCGAAAACGAACAGGAGGATCAGGTAAAAATTTAATAAGGATTTTTTCCATGCTAAATAGCTTGCTGTGAACTCCTTATTAGAATAGACAGACGGCAACGTTGACCCAGATTAACGGCACAGTTGATCTGACCAAACTTGCACTCTGCCAGATGGCACTAATGCGAGTTAACGAGCCACGGCCAGTAGAATTTTCATTTAATTTTCATTTAATTTTGAAATGAAACTTTTTTGCGCTCGGTTGGAAGTAAAGGCAAATATCGAAGTAACGAAAAATCAACCCCTTCGTAGGGCTCTGATTTCAAACGAAAGAGCGCCAGAGATATGCATAGATATGCTCTTCCATCCCATGTATACATAATTCTGATTTCTGCGCAAGTTGACAATCTCCTTCAGTACATTGTGGTGTTGCTCTCACTACTACTATGGGTGATAGCGAGGAACCGCATACTGCAAGATCTCAATAGAGGTGGCGTCAAAGTTGTGGCGTACGCGGGTGATGTTGTAATAGCAGCTAAAGGTCCGTTCCTTTGAACCATTAGCGATATACTTGAAAGAACCCTGGGAAGGCTATACGCCTGGGTTGCGAGAATCGGCCTTAATGTGAATCCAGCCAAGGCACAACAGCGCAAGGTATCTTGGAGTCGTGCTGGATAGCAAACAGAAGGCCTACATATCATTACACATACATGAGACTCTTCAGCAGAAACTGGGGACTGAAACTTAATCTTGTGATGCGAATGTATACCGCCATCATAAGACGAATCCTAACATACGGTGCTTTGGTCTGGTGGTCCGAACTAAGCAAACAATATCATGTCAGCAAATTAAGAAGCATGCAAAGGGCAGCAAACACAGGAGTAACAGGTGCACTAAGATCCTACCCGACGAAAGCGCTAAATGTTATCTTAAATCTAATCCCTATTGATCTTCGCCTGAAAAAAGTGGTTAGGAAATCGTTGGTCAGACTAAGAGAGTCTTGCCTTTGGGGGACTAGACACTTCGGACATGGGTTGATCATGTATGAAATGAATTAAGTAGGACGACAGACAATATGCTAGGCTAGTTGGACTTCAGCTGCAACGTGCAGATATGATTTCCATCCAGAAGAGACTGGAGAAGAGACCGAGTGCGCGGCCGAGTGGCTATATCGCTATACACCGACGGATACAAGACGGATTGCGGTGTGGGAGCTGGAGTCTACTACGAGGAACTCGATGTTCCTCGATTGGGAAAAGCAGAAGTTGTAGAGAACTTAGAAGCCTGTAAAATCCTAGGTAATTGAGTCGCGTATAAGAGTAAAATAAAAATATGTGCTGTCGCTAGGCGGCAGCGGTGACCAAATGTAATCTAGCTGGGGAAAGGAAAGCTCTCTGAACTCAGTGTCTTAGTCAACTACCGTCTGGCGAAGATAGGAGCCGGTTTGAATGAATACGAAGCGGTGGAACTATGTTATCCTCTTGGAATAGTCTAAAGGGAGATTACTTTGCATTTTGCAAAATAAAGCTTTTCATGGACACAAGGACGTCCATCCTCATTTATAATAGCGAAATATGGGCAAACGCGCGAAGAGCTGAAAAGAGAAGGAAAGTACTGTCCGCCGTACAAAGAACAACTGCTTTTAGGGTGGCCTCAGCAAACCGGAAAGTCTCAGAGGCTGCAATCCAAGGATAAGTGGTACATTGCCTATATATTTGGCAGCAAAGAAGTGGCAAATGAAGTGGAACCTACAACCGGCCACAAACACAGGGGAAACATCGCGAGAAATATAAACGCAAACTCAATCACTATGGCAGACGCAATGGAGCGAAGAGAAGCAAGGCAAATGGAAGGCAATACTCATTCTAGAAATAAAAAAAATGGATGTCAAGAGGCCACGGCTATTTGCCGAATCCTGCTAGCAACAAAACATTCGGTCTAAGTTAGTTTAGATTTTAGAAGGTGTTGCGTGTAAAAAATTTCGAATGATCTCTGCCTTTGCTAATTACATAGGCTCTAGAAGCTATCTAAGTAATGCACACTATAGAAGTTTTGGCCCCTGACTTAGCTAGTTAAAAGTCTTAATTTTCATTAACATTAACATTTAACAATTTTTTGGATATCTATTTCTAAAGTTATTTCTTGTCTTTGTATTTGACTCACAGATAATTACCATTCGCAGTAAATTACTCTACGATGCTATTGTATTATATTTCAATGCTTTACGACGCCAAATTCGAAACTTACACTACCAAGCGCCTAGAGTGCGCTGTCATCGAGGGTATTGGCGTACAGGCTTGGAGCTTTTGGATCAGATGAAACTTGTGAGTAACAAAATTTCGAAAACTGCTAAACTTCCACTTGACTTTGCAAAAGTTTCGTTGTGAGCTTTGGTGTCGCTCTAACAGCTCTACACCAGGTGAAAGCTCTAAAAACTTTTTTTAGCTTTGAACTTGCTATACTTTGAAGTTTTTAAATCAATATTGCCGTACGTTCTTATAGCTGACATCTCGTAATGTAACGCCACCCTATAAGACACAAAAAATGCAGTTAAACAAATATGGTGAACGTGAAGAGTTTAATTTGGAAATTTACAATCCAATGGTGGAACGTATTACACATATTTGGAATCAAAATAAAAACCTAGTTGCTTTCGAAGATTTGGTAGAAGCAAAAGAAATGAAGAAACAAAAATACAATGAGGTAGAAGATTTTACGCCCAAACGTGTGAAGTATACAGTAGCGACACGTATCGGAGAACCTTACTTTATGTGGCGGTGAGTGAAAGCTTTATTGATTAAACATGAGGCGTGGTAAAATTTGGAAGGGTGGAAGCTTGAAACATATTTTATCCATTTTTGTACAGTCAAGAACCGGAGGGTGTTCACTATGAGGGCAATGAACGCTTTGAGGGCTACGCTGTGGATCTAATTTACAGTCTGGCACAGCAGTGCAAGTTCGATTTTGTCTTTGAGCCAGTGCCAGATAATAATTATGGCAGTTACGATCCGATAACTGATGAGTGGAATGGCATTATACGGCAATTAATTGACAATGTGAGTATACATGTGTCCTTACCATTAAGAAGAAAATACTACAACCAGTTCTTAAATTCTTTAATCTTGCTTCTCTAGAATGCACAAATTGGCATTTGCGACTTAACTATCACGCAGGCGCGTCGAAGTGTGGTGGATTTTACGGTGCCTTTCATGCAACTTGGTGTTAGTATTCTATTCTACAGAGAACCACCACCACCAAAGAATCTTTTCGGCTTTCTTTCCCCATATTCTTTGGATGTTTGGATCTATCTGTTGGTGGCTATTATGATAACGGCGTTGGTTTTGGTAGTGGTGGGTCGGTAAGTGTGGTGAATATCTGAGAAAGGAATGAATAATTCGAAACATTTTCTTCTTCAATTTCTTCGCAGCGTCTCACAACTCGACTGGTTAAGCCCAATTCCACATGATCCTGATCCCGCTGAAGTGGAGAATATTTGGAATTTATCTAATTCGCTCTGGTTGAATATTGGTTCGATTCTGAATCAGGGCTGTGATATACTGCCGAAGTGAGTTAGTGAGTTGTATGCTTGGTATTCCTGTACTTGAATACTTGAAATTGAAAAGTTTTTTGTGATTGGAAGAGTGGACATAATTTATTTGTAATTAAAAAAGTGGACATATATTTTTTGTGAAATAGCAAATTGACATTAATTGCAGATAATTTAAGAATTGGCCATACAATTATTGGTAATTAAAAAATTGGACATACATTCGTGCAAAATAAAAATTGGGCATAGATTTTTGTAAAATAAAAATTGGAAACTTTTTAGGTACTCTAAAAATTAGACATCACTTTTTGGTAATTTTAAAAATTGACATGAATTTTTGATAATTTAGAAACTGACATTATTTTTGGGTTTTTAAAAATTGAATATAAAATGTTTTTGTAATTAAAAAACTCTACATAAATTATTGTATATTTTTGGTCATTTAAAACTGGAAAAAATTTTTTTCTTTTTTAATTGGTCATAATTTTTGGCAATCTGAGGTATTTTTGTTTAGTTATTTAATAATTGGACCAATATTTTTTAAAGTAAAAACTGGCATTATTTTAAGATTATCTACTGAACATAATATTGGTCATATTAAAACACGAAATAATTTTTTGGTTTTTAAAAATTCAACGTAAAATATTTGGAAAATAAAAAAATTTTAAACATTTTTGAAAAAAATGGACATAATCCTTAGGTAATCAAAATGTTTAGTCATTGAAAACCCGATTTTTTTTGTTTTCAAAAATACGACATACAATTTTGGTAATTAAAATTATTGTAAATTTTATTGACGCAATTTTTAGGCAATTTAAATAGCACACATAAGTTTTTGGTCATATAAAAATTGGAAATAATTATTTGGTTTTTAAAAGTCGGGCATAAAAGTTTTGGGAACTAAATATATTGTCAATTTTTTATATGTGATTTTTAGGCAACTTAAATAGTACACATACATTTTTGGTAGTTTAAAAACTGGAAATAGTTTTGTGGTTTTCAAAAATTGGACATCAAGTGGCTAGAAATCTGAGAAGGATAACATCTTTTGTTATTTTAAATTTGGACATAAATTTTTGGCAAGAAAAACTGAACATAATTTTAAGGTAATATAAAAAGTAGACATACCTTTTTTGGAAGTTTTCAACCAGGAAATAATTTTTGGTTTTTAGATATTAGACATAAAATTTTTGGCTATTAAAAATTGGACATAATATTTTTAAATTTTAAAACTGTACATGCGTTTTTTTTGATATAAAAATTTATTTGTTTTTGTTGTTGAATATAATATATAAACTTAAGATAATTTTTTGGTATTTTAATAGCTGGACATACATTATTGATAAAGTACTTTTGTAATTTAAAAACCATATAAAACTTTTAATCAGTTAAAACTTTGGACATATACATCTGTTTAATAATGTAAAACTTGAATTTGTGGATAGGTTGATTATGTTTCATTTGGTGAATAAATTTTTGATCTTTTAAAAATTTGACATCATTTTTTGCTAATTCGGACATAAATTGTTAGTTGGACAAAAATGTTTGGTAATGCCAAACTGGACATTTAAAAACGATGCATACATTTTCAGGAATATGAAAACTGGACATTCATTTTTTGGTAATTTTAAACCTGGACATAAATTACTGATTATTTTAAAACTGGAAATTAATTTATGATCATTAATATTTAAGAATTCGAATCAGACCATATGAAAGTGGGACATAAAATTAATGTCACACAAATTAATGGACATAAATTTTGTGGTATTTTTATTGAACTTTTCAATGTTAATTTTATTTATATCTAGTCTCCTAATTAGTAAAAAATTATGTCCACTTTTGACAACACTAAAAGATTGTCTCTACTTTAACTTTCAAGTGATCATTCTTTTTCTTATATATATATATTTTTTTCAATCTCCCACACACTTCAGAGGTCCCGCAATGCGTTTGTTCACCGCATTTTGGTGGATCTTCTCACTTCTACTCTCTCAGACTTATATCGCCAAATTGGCGGCCTTCATTACTGCTTCCAAAATGGAAAGTTCCATAACGAATTTACATGGTCTCATCGATCAGAATAAGATACAGTTTGGTATGCTAAAGGGTGGTAGCACATCGTTTTTATTCTCGGAATCGAATGAATCTGAATATCGGCTGGCTTGGAACAAGATGGTTGCCATGAAACCAGATGCCTTCACGTCGAATAACAGAGAGGGCGTGGATCGTGTGAAACGTAGTCGTGGCCGTTACGCGTACCTCTTGGAGACCACCACGCTACAATACTACCTGAATCTAAATTGTGAATTGAAACAGATTGGCGAACCATTTAATGAAAAGCATTACGGCATTGCGGTACCGTTGAGTAAGTGAAGGGTTAAACTCATAATTTTGAAAAAAAGAGTTGAATATACCTACCTATCTCACTCTAATTATTTCTCTCCTCTACACTTCTCTTCCCTCACTTTTGCGCTCTCCAAAAAAGATGCGCCCTTTCGCTCTAACCTTAGTGTGGGCATTTTGAAACTCAGCGAGAAGGGCGAATTGTATAAAATGAAACGTAAATGGTTTACCACAAACGAGACGAACTGCAATGTTGATTTGGACGAAGGCGCTGATAATGGCCAGTACACAATGGAATCGGTGGGTGGTTTATTTATAGTTCTAATCGGTGGCATACTGGTTTCCATATTAATTGGCATATTCGAGTTCCTCTGGAACGTTGAGCAGATTTCAGTGAAAGAAAAGGTACTACTTAAGTTATTTGCTTAAATTTGTAGTATAACTATGTACTCAGTGTTAAAATATTTTCATTACAGCTACCAACAATGGTCATTTTCAAGGCTGAGCTGAAGTTCTTCCTACGCTTCTGGCAGACACGCAAGCCTTTGCGCACTTATGCAGAGAGTCGTGGCTCAACATCGACTGGTTACTCATCTTTTGAGCAAACTGCAAGCACTTCGACTGCCAAGAAGAAAAGGAAGAAGAAATCGAAGAAAATTCACGAGCAATGAGCGGGGCTGGCGGGGGTTCGAGGTGGGGGTTTGTTGGATAGTTATTGCTTAAATAAATAAATTTTTGAATAAATACAAAAATCTACAGCTGGCGAAGTGATTTATTGGAAATGTCAAACATTTCTCAAGGTCTCAGGCATTTGTGGTCCCGAAAGCATTTTGTATTTAGGGTAGGTCTTCTTCGAGACTTTAAATTGCTGAAAGGATGGCGGTAGAGCATCTTAGGCATACGATGATCATCAGTTATTCGGCTCGTTCGAAAGAGCACTCGACTTTTAAATAGAGCTGGTACCAGTTTGTGGCTTGGTTATACAAACTTACATATCGCCTCTATTCCTTACAATGTTTTTCTGGAACACTCAAAAGTTAGAGTTCGGTATTATCGCTTACCGTATATTCGGCTAGTTGTTAGTGGTATATGTTGCCATCAGTTCCGACGGCTCTGGATCTGACCTATTCAAAGCCGGCGGCGAAGAGCTAGCAAGGCACATGTACCAGCTGTTAAGTAGAATTTGGTCTGCTGATTACATGTTCGAAGATTGCAGTCTCGGTGTAATTTGCCGGCAAGGAGGATACTACCGCTTGCGTTAACTATCGCGGAATAAACTGTCTGAAGCTTGACGGAAGGGTTAGTGCAAAAGTCTTTTTCAAGGAGCTCTTCATCAGCCATAAATTTAGGCTTCCAGATCAGGCGGAGGTTGCTGCTATTATGGAAGCAATCGATTGTCTGCTGTTAGGCGCGATGACGGTAAGGCAAGTTCATATCTACTCGAACAGTCAGGCGGCAATCAGGGCACTGGGCTAACTTACGGTATGCTCGGAGCTTGTAGAGGAATGCCTTAACTCGCTTCCGATAGCGTCGGAATATTACTTGGTCAGACTTGTTTGGGTGCCACGCCATAGTGTTAACGCACGAAATTGTGCGGCTGATGAACTGGCCAGAGGCGGTAGCCTTGAGGAATGATCGCTTAGAAGAGAGATGGTGGGAGTCCTCTTGACCACTTGTGGACTTCTTTTGGAAAGATGGGTCTCGGGTAAACTCAGCGAACGCTGGAGGAAAACAAAGACATGTGCTACGGCGAGATATTTCTGGCCGGGGATGGACCGTGGGCGGTCTAGGGATCTCTTTAAGCTCGCGAAGTCAGATATCTCGATTCTACTGATTCAAATGATAGGCCATTGTTGTTTCGGGGTTCATGCAGTGAGATAATAATATTTTAGACATACATCCGTATTCTAACAAAGTCACCTCAAAGCTTGCCGCTCAAAAAATATGCAGCTACAATTCATTTTTTTTAATTTTTGTGTACTTTTCTAGCACTCAAAATCGAATTTTTTGTGACACATTTCTCGGCGCACTTGAAATCACAACAGTGATGAGCTAAGTTTTGTGGCAACCCTCCTTACAAATAATTTCTAAACAAATAATTTTTAAACCCCTTTCATTTGACACCCAGATTGTTGTAATATTTCATTTAACATTTTAAATAATTGATTTAAACTTTTGAAAAGGTGGCAACTCTCTTACCCAAAAAAATAAATCTCATGCGTTAATTCGGATAAAACCTTCCTTATCATTGTTCTAAATGTCTTTGAAATGCGTCCGCCGTTTTAGCGTGAAAGAGCAAAAAACATTTTCGCGCTCTTTCTATGTGTGATAGATTTTCTGTATGTGTGTGTAGAGCTGAACAAGGAATTCCAATCTATGATCTTCTAATAAAATGAAAACTTTAAGTAAACTTTCCTTCCTGTATAACAATCTTTCGAAATTAATCCAATAGAAAGCCTAAAGTAAGCCAATTAATTTCATTGAACTCTGTAGAAATATGTAAAAAAGAGCTCTTGAGCTAACCCAATGAGTAGCAAAATTGGCCACAAAATAAGACATCAGGTATTAGGAATCTTAAAAATGTGGGTAGAAAGCATTTAAATCACGTATCAGCAATGGCACAGCCAAAGTCCCAATCCCTCAAAATCCACCCTACTCACTGCTTCGACAATGATTAGCAGCTTAACAAGGATCTTTTTACAAGCCATTGCACCCAACACGAGTGACGACCAGGAACGAGTACACAAACTCAAATGGCAGCTAATAAAAACTTCAAAAATCATAGCTGACCGACATAACAACAAAACTAACGAAATGAAAAGAAGAAACCATTAAAGGAAAAATAAAAAAGTAATGTGGGAAAAAAGCGAATGTAAAGTATTTGGATAAAAAGGACAAGCAAAAACCATTTGGCCCCAAAGTCATAAACACATTTTTGCTGCTCTTAACCATACATACATACATACATTTGTATGTGTGTGCAAATAAGCTTGTAACTACAATGGTAATCACAAAAACAATAACAAACAAGAAGCGCACTGAAAGTGGCTTATACGCCATGGCATACCAGTCAGTGCTCAGTTATGTGGTGACCAGCAGCGGTAGCAGCAGCCACTGGCTGACAAAAACCAAAATCAAAACCTGCACTGGACACTTTGGCGTCAGGGTTGTAGGGTAGCCCCTTTGGATAACGCATTTTTCGCAAAAATGTCGAACAAAAAAAAAAAGGTCAAGTGTCTGCGGCTAAATTGGCCATTGCGGTGTGGATTGACTGATATGTGGATTATGCAAGAGTTAAGCTGCTTGCGGGATTTCACAGTTGGTACTCATAAAATTTGCTTTCCCTATTTGCTTATTCTTGTTTCTATGCACAAGTCGTTTTTCCTTTGTTGTTGTTGTTGTTGGTTTTATTGCTTTCACAGATTTTTATTTCAATTGCCTTTTTTTCGCTTGGATTAGTAAAGATTTGTTTTTGTTGAAATGCCAAATGGAGTGTCAATTGAATCGTATTTGGCATTTTGGCATTGAGTGGGTTAACTAAGCAAATGTCAAAAAGTCAGTCAAATCCCAACCAAACGGAGATGTGTGTATGTGTGTTAGCAGGAAATGTGGGCGACTATTGGCAGAACTAGGAGCGTGACAACAAATAAAAGTGATTTATGTGGGAGAAGAAGAGATGGAGATGTATGAATCAGAAAATATTCATACATACATATACAATGAATTAATTAAAAAAGTATAATTTTTATGAGAGTGCTGAGGGGACTCTACAAGGTTGAGTTTCCTGTGGCTGTATGCTGGCTTAATCCTAGCACGGATCCCGGGCTGACACTTTATCGAATATTTACTTATGGCTCCAAAACGGACACAGCGTCTTAATCTGGTTTCTATATCGGATTCTAATTGGGATAGGCTTTACATTTCTCTTGGAGAATATGCCTCGTTATTCCCAACCGATATATTTGCAATCCTATAGGCCCATGACTACTTAGTAGAAAATAGCTGGCGGTATTCCAAACTTACCAGTTGCGCTTAGATCATCTAAAAAATCTATACTTAGGATATTTCTGTATTTTCCTGCGTAGTGCAGATCAGGCTCACCTTCGTTGTGGCAGTTCCTGCAGTAGTCATTGTGACTGACCACGAGACGTTCTGCATGCCTTCCTATCAGGGTATGTCCTGTGAGCAGGCCAATGGCCAGTGAAATATCGACTCTATTGAGAGTTAGAATTTCTGTCGATCTCCGTATATTCCATTTCGGCCATGTAAGCTTCATTGAATTGCAGTTTTCCGTGCGCTCCCATCTGGTGTCCGCTTCCATTAGTAAAAGCTTTGCAGGAACCCATTAGCGTTCCTATCCTCTTCCAGGCTGGTGAAAGTGGAGTGGAAGTACCCCCTTTTGCAAGCTCGTCTGCCTCTCATTTCATGGTATGTGACTGTGCCCCGGTACACACAATAAGTCAAGAGTCAAGCGCCATAAGGGCCGTCGGACTAACTGATTATATATATATTTTAGTAGTAGCGACCACACCTCATTTTAGGCTGTTTCGAGTAGACGCCTCCTACTACTCTGTTTTTTAGTTTGGAGACATCCGTATAGAAATTTATGGCATCTTCAGATCCCGGAACTCCTTCGATCCTAGATTCTCTGCTATGCTATACCTATGCTATAACCTTTAGTAAAAGTGAGCATTGGTACACAATAGTCCATTGTGCTCGGTAATTGCCGGTTGATAAAAATTGTAGTATGACCAAGTCGAGCCGCATTCCAGCTTCTAAGCTTCTGTAGTCTTAGGGTACGTTCTCACAGAAAGCGGAGCCAAGCCGAGCGAATGAGTTCCGAGCAGAGTGAAGCTTTCAAATTGCTGTAGCTTTATGAAAGTGTTCATATTGCTGTATCTGCTTTTCAGAAGCGTTTTGGAACCGAAAGCAATACAGTTTTTGATTTTGAGTTTTCCATTTAATTTCTTAGCTTCATGACATTTCTGCAAACAAGATATCAAAATATTTAAAGAAGAATGAGTTTTTAAACTAATCTTTTGCAGCTGAGTCCATACGAAAAGGTCCGCTCCGCCTCGTTCAGCATGAACACTTGGATGTTCGCTTTGCTCGCCTTTCTTCGCTCGGCACCGATCGGCTTTCTGTGTGAACGCACCCTTAGGGCTACGTTTTAAACTTTAGCATAACATTTTTACTTTTCAGAGTGCTGCTTCAACTAACACTTTAACAATAGGGGTATTCTCGAAGTCTGGCACGATGAACGGATTGCACGAAATGCAAAAATACTATTCAATATTTCGAAGAGTACGAGAGCACCCCATTGCAAAGTGGTAGCATGCATGGGTAGCAAGCAGCGAAATTATGTTGCAAATACAATAACAAAAGGCAGAAAAAAAATTAAGTGAGCGAGATGAGAGGAATTGATCGAAATATGTAGCAATTCCAACAACAAAACAACTAGCACAGGGTCGCATATATCTTGCTATGCTATTTTGCAAAATATATACATGGCTTTCGACGTTGCATGTTTTGCAGCGATAGGAAATGTTGTTTCGCATGTATTTTGTTGTTGTGTGTTTGCAAGTTATGCAATCCTTGCAATCCGTGCTACGTGCAATGGCTTTGCAAGATTTGGAGAATACCCCTAATGATCATAGGAAAAGATGCAAAAGGTCGGGAC